TAGAGACGGGGTTTCACCATGTTGACCAGGATGGTCTCGATCTCTTGACCTTGTGATCCACCCGCCTCGGCCTCCCAAAGTGCTGGGATTACAGGCTTGAGCCACCGCGCCCGGCCCAATTTTTAAATTTTTAATAGAGATGGAGTTTCACCATGTTGTCCAGGCTGGTCTTGAACTTCTGGCTCCAGTGATCTACTGGCCTCGGCCTCTCAAAGTGCTGAGATTACAGGCATGAGCCACTGTACCTGGCCAGAGATACTGACTTTTAAGTTATTTTTAAAAATTTGGCTGGGCACAGCGGCTCAGATGGATGGATCACTGGAGGCCAAAGTTTGAGACCAGCCTGGCCAACATGGCGAAACCCCATCTCTACTAAAACTACAAAACTTAGCCAGGAGTGGTGGCGTGCACCTGTAATCCCAGCTACTTGGGAGGCTGAGGCATGAGAATCACTTGAGCCTGAGAGGGGCAGGTTGCAGTGAGCTATCTTGCCACTGCACTCCAGGCTGAGTGACACAGTGAGATTCTGTCTCAAAATAAATAAATAAGTAAATAAGCCAATGTACTAACTGCACTGTTTAGAAAATTGTGTTGCAGTTGGCATTAGACTCACTTCAATTTTATATCCCAGTTATTATCTGAAAGGACAAAGTGTAAAATTATATATATTTGATACAGTCAGCGAAACTGTAAATAAAGAGACTGAGAAAGGAAAAAGATTACAAATACAAAAGAGAAGACTATTTGTAGAAAAAATATATATATATTTATATATATATTCAGTCCTCATAGAGACTGCCAAAAATTGCCAATGGCGACTGTATTTCAAGTCGTCATGGCAGGGTATTAGGAAAAGTTTTCAATTAGCAATAATCATGCTTCAGATAAACCTCATCAGCTACGATACTGCCACTGCTCAAAGCTGTAAAAAAAATTTTACATTGGGGGAAAAACTCAGTACTCAAACATATTGAAGTTGTATCAAAATAACTGGAAAATGAAGATATTAAATCATAATTACTATAATCTCCTCCACCGAATTATTTTAACTTTTGGGAATGAAGCTTAAACTTGCAACACAACTCTAACAGCAATAAATCCCACAAATGGTTAATCTTATTTTCAGTTGTATAAGAAGAAAAAGTGTGTCTGAGAACAGGGGAGAAAGATTTTCTCCTTCTTTGAAAACATGCTGCTTCACTTACATAGCCCCTCAGTTTGAGGATGTGTGCTACTCAAAAGTGGAAAACAGAGGGATTTATTTGTGAAGAAAAACTAAAACAGCCGAAAAGAAAATTTAAGAAATAAAAACATACAATATAAAATACATTTTAAAAAATCATTGCAAATGAAAACATTCCTAAAGAGTGTTTTGTATTAATAACAAAGATAAGAAAGTTTAATGTTCTCTTTCAGAAAACTGCCAGAAACAAAACATCACCAAATAAGAGCCAATAACAACAATATAGACAGGTTTTTTCCCTTAATTGATACATAACATTTTACATTATTTGTGGGGGTACATTTGATACTTTGTTACATGCACAGAATGTGTGCTGATCAAGTCTCTAAGGTATCTCATCACTTTGAGTATTTGATATTTCTGTGTTGGAAACAATTCAAGTCCTCTCTTTTAGCTACTTTGAAATATACAATACTACTTTGATTCTTTCTTCCTGGTGAAGTTAAGGAATCAAAGCCTGCAGTGGTGTCATCACAGCTCACTGCAGCCTGGGCTCAAGTGATCCCCCTGCTTCAGCCTCCTAAGTAGCTAGGACTACAGGTGCACATCACCACACTTGGGCTAATTTTAAAATTTTTTGTAGAGATGTGGTCTTTATGCTCCCCAGGCAGCTGGTCTCAAACTCCTGGCAATCTTCCTCTCTCAATTTCCCAAAGTGCTGGGATTACAGGCTGGCTTCAGACCATACTGTTTCAGATATTTTCACTTAGTATCACTGAGACTAGAAATGCCAAAGATTTATTATTTTTATTTATTTATTTAAGACAGAGTCTTGCTCTGTTTGCCCCGGTGGGAGTGCAATGGTACAATCCTGGCTCACTGCAACCTCTGCCTCCTGGGTTCAAGTGATTCAGCCTCCTGAAGAGCTGGGATTACAGACACAAACCACCACACCTGGCTAATTTTTGTATTTTTAGTAGAGACAAGGTTTTACCATGTTGCCCAGGATGGCCTTGAACTCCCAGACTTGAGGTGATTTGCTTGCCTCAGCCTCCCAAAGTACTGGGATTACAGAATGTGAACCACTACACCTGGCCTAGAAATGCTGAAGATTTTTGAATTTTTCAAAAAATAAATATGAAAGACTAAGGAAAAACTCCACAATGTTTCTTGAAGTAAAAATATTAATCACACTAAAGCTATTACTCCAACTCACTTTATGAGATATTCGCACACATACTGCTCTCTCACTTATTTAGTACTCATTAAGGTATTCTAAAGTCTACAAAACAGGATTACAATGACTTTCCCATGGTCCCACATGATGTAAGTTACAGAGCTGAGGCTTGAACACAGCCTCCTAATGGTTGACTCAAGAATCTTTTGATTAGAAATTTAACTTTCAATCAATAGATGAAGCTGGATTGGGATTATGGTATCCACAAAACCCCTTAGATCCATTTAACCCCAGGATGGGACCGACATATTTAACAAATTCAAAAACCAAATATGGTTCATTATAAAACAGCAATTTAAACCTTGTTAGCACATTAACTGTTATTTAATTAAGGGCAATCTGAATGAAAATCCCAATGGGGTTCTTCTCAGAGTTTGACAATATGATTGTAAGCTTCAGCTAGAAGTTGAAGAAAATTTTGAAAACTCAGAACCATCAGAAAGGCTGGCATTGGCATCATCAGGCATTAAATGAATGCCTCAAACATCAGAATGCTATGACAACTGGCCCAGAAGAACAAGAAAAAATTAGAAAAAAAATCCACAAAACAGACTAAAATGTATATAAGGTGAAACTGGCATTTCAAATCATTGAGGAAAGTAAACATTTCTCAACAAATTATGCTAGAATGATTTTGTTGGGAAAAAAAAACACCATTAGGTATAAGTTGAGAGGAATGTACAAAAAGATAAACAAAACAAGTTGGCTTTCCAGAGTCATCAATGATTCCATAGAGATTAATAATGCCAACAGATTAATTAAGGGTACTCTTAGAGTACCCTTCCTGCAGCCCAGGAAGTAAAAATTGCATTGCTGAAAGATCCTTTGTCCCATTCCTAATTTTTCTTTGCGACACTGAACATCTATGTCCACAAATTGGTGACACAGATGGGACACATTCCCCTCCAGAGTGGTCTCCAGCCAAGACCCACCTGGTACGAGGAATAAATCAACCTGGTCTTTCAGCAATGCCAGGGGAAAAAAGGCTTCAAGCTTTGGTCAAAATTCTAAAGGTTAAGTATGTATAAGTGTGCATGCAAGAGAGCAGTATGAGTGGTTTTTCTCTGCAACATCTGTAATCGTTTCATAAGGCCTCTGAGCAAAACAAAGTAAAGAGAGGAGTGAGAGAGACCTCCGAAAGGGCTAGGGGGATAGTTAGAACCCTCCCCTGGAAAAAGGCAAAAGGTAGCCAAGAAGGCTCTGGAGGAGCCCCCTGCTCGTGCTGCTGGTCTTCTCCCCTGCTGGCGCAGATGCCTGTCTGCCCCGCAAGGTTCTGGGCGTCCAACCTCGGACCATCTTGCTGCTGAGAGGGCCGCAGGGGTGCCTGTGGCTGGGTCAGCCGCCCGTTGGGGTGGGGCCCAGGGAGGCGAAGGTCACAGGCGCACAGGCGCCAGGTTGCTCTAAGTGGCAGTGCACCTGCCAACGACAGGGTCGGGGAGTAAGGAAGCAGTGCAGATGGCATTGGAAGTGGCAAGTGGCCTGTGTAGGGGTGGCAGTGGCGGAGGTTGCCTGCAAGGACACTGGCTGTGGCAAGGGGTGCCGCAGCGAGGGGCTCTGCAGAGGCGGCAGTGGGAGAGGCTGGAAAGCAGCAGCAGCAGCAGCAGCAGGACAGTCTGAGGTTGGACGCCGGGACCCCCGCAGGGCAGACAGGCGCCGCACCTGCGCCAGCAGGGGAGACCAGCAGCACGGGCAGCAACTACAAAAGCCCAAGGCAAGTCTCGCTCAGGCCAGCGAAATGTTAGAAATCAGAAAGAAAAAGTATGTAAAAAGATGGTAAGAGAAAGTGCGTGTGAAAGAGAGAAAGTAAAACTAACGAAAGAAATAGTTTAGAAAACAGAAACTTTTTCTTTTAAAGACTCAGGCAGAACAACTAAGCCAAAACATGCTTAAAAAAAAAAAAAGTTTAAGAAGAAAAATTATAAAGTAAAAGAAGAGGGAATTGTGGGAAGTAGAAAATTTCCTTTTTAAAGTTTCCTTTGTTAAAGAATAAGTGTGCTTAAAAAAAAAAAAAAAAGTAAGTGTGCTAGTAGCTCTTCGTTAAGCCCTATTCTATGTAGCTGTTAAACATGCTGTGCCAACAGGCATGTAGTACATTCTATGTTATTGTACTTCAACCAAAATATCTGTGGCTGGATGTGCTCACAGGCCTGTCCCAGCTCTCCATTGCTTTTACCTGTTTAGAAAAGTTTTAAGTTATTAGCCAATCAGGTTTTAGTTTACATTGTGAGGTCTGGCTCCAGCCAACAGAGCTGAGACAAAACAGAACAAGACTCTGTCTCTAAATAAATAAATAAAAATAAATAATGATACTCAGATATAAAATGAATATTTATAATCATAGAATATATTGATATTAATAGAATGTTAAGGATCACTAGTAAAATTAATCACAAAGGTAAAAAGCCATAAAAAGAAAAAAAGCTGATAGATCTTACCATGTAAAAATTGAAAAAACTATAAAACATTGGTGAAAGAAATTGAAGAGGATATCAAAAAATGGAAATATATTCCATGTTCGTGGATTAGAAGAATGAATATTTTAAAATGTCCATATTACCCAAAGCAATCTACAGATTAAATGCAATCCCTATCAAAATACCAATCACTTTCTTCACAAAAATAGAAAAAAAAATCCTAAAATATATATGGAACCACAAAAGACCCAGAATAGCCAAAGCTATCCTGAGCAGAAAAAATAAAACTGGAGGAATCACATTACCTGACTTCAAATTATACTACAGAGCAGCCGGGTGTGTTAGCTCACACCTGTAATCCCAGCACTTTGGGAGGCTTAGGTGGGTGGATCACTGGAGGTCAGGAGTTTGAGACCAGCCTGGCCAACATGGTGAAACCCTGTCTCTACTAAAAAATACAAAAATCAGCGGGTGTGGTAGCACATGCCTATAATCCCAGCTAGTAGGGAGCGCAGGAGAATCGCTTGAACCCAGGAGGTGGAGGCTGCAGTGAGCCGAGATTGTGATACTGCACTCCAGCCTAGACAATAGATCGAGACTCCATCTTAACAAAGAAAAAAAGGTCTTAAAAAAATTATATTACAGAGCTACGGTAACCAAAACAGCAGGGAACTCATTTTTGCTAAAGATGCCAAGAACATATGCTGGGGAAAAGACAGTCTCTTCTGAGAAAACTGGATATCCATATGCAGAAGAACAAAACTGGATTCCTATCTTTTGCTGTATTTCACAAAATCAAATCAAAGTGGATTAAAGACTGATGATATCTAAGACCTTAAACTATGAAACCACTACAAGAAAACATTGGGAAAATTCTCCAGGACATTGGTCTGGGCAAAAATTTCTTTAGTAATAACCTACAAGCACAGGCAACCAAAGAAAAAAAATGGGCAAATGAGATCACATCAACTTAAAAGCTTCTGCGCAGCAAAGGAAGCAATCATCAAAGTGAAGAGACAACTCGCAGAATAAGAGAAAATATTTACAAACTATCCATCTAACAAGGGATTAATAACCAGATCACAGAAGG